GCAACAAAACAATCGTATTTTTGGGAAATATATAGAAAAATTTGTTTCGAAAAATTTTGTTTATAATTTTCTAGAAATTTTTGCGAATATAATTTTTTTTAAATTAAACTATTTAAAAGTCTTCCAGAATTTTTTTTCAAAATTCGTAAAAATATTCCGATTACATTTTTTTTACCCGGGAAAATCTGTTGCAGTAGTCCATATAAATTTCTACAGATTTCCCCATTTTTATTCCTTTTCCCCCAGATTTATTTAAAATATAAATATAAACCTTAAAAAAAAATTTATTTATTATTAAACTATCCCAATATTTGAAAATTATGATCTGCCAGGTGCTAGACCTCCATCACGAATTGTCCAAGGAGGAGATACGATTATCCGAGATGCCCCATTCGTCGTCCAAATTCGTCACAATTCTTCACTGAATGTCAGCACTGGAGTGATCTGCGGTGGTAGTATCATTGGCAAAAGGTACATTATCACTGCAGCGCACTGCATATTAAAAATCGACGATATCCCACCGGATTTTCCATTACACTTTTCCTGGTTTCGAGTGATAGCAGGCAGCAGCTCCTATCAATTCGGTGATAAGGCGTACGAGATCAAGAAAGTCCATTACCACCCAAATTGGCCTGGGTATTTAAATACGAATTCCAGTGAGAAATTCGATCTCGCAGTTTACGAGGTATTTCCATTTTTTTACTAAACAGGAGAAAAAAAAATAATATTGCACCTGAAAATTTCAGAAAATTATATTCATCTGATTATCAGGGATGAAAAAGATAAGAATTAAAGAATTAAAGATAAGATTTAGATTAAACAATTAAAAGAAAAAATGAATCTTTTTTTTTATTTAAAAATTTGATATTGTTTATATATTTATATTGTTTATTCGGAATTTTCAGCTCAAGGAAGAAATTTTATTCGATGATACCAAAGAAGCCATCCCGTTGGCTGATGTAATCCCAGAAGAAGGTTCTGTTGGTCATATATTTGGTTGGGGATCCATTAATTCAACTGCTTTAATTACCACTAACACATTGCAACAATTACGAGTGCACATATCCACTTCTGACGTATGCAAAAATAATTATTCAAGATTGCGCGTTGATAATGACGAGTTGTGTGTATCGAATGAGGATGGGGGTATGTTCTGTGAGGTAAGGATGATGCACCAGTGCATTTTTAAGACTTCTTATCAAAAATTATAATTTAAAAATACGAGATTGAAATCTTTATGAAGTTTTCACTCTGGATATTGGGAGTTGAAATGTTAATTCATTGGTTTGGGATTTTTAACGCAGGGTGACAGTGGAGGTGGTCTTCGAGTGGATGGGAAATTAGCTGGTGTAATTTCGAATCAAGTGAATTGCGAGGGTAGAGTGCCAGGGCTCGTTAGCAATGTCGCTTATTACAAGCAGTGGATTGAAGGGATAATGCAAGGTGTGAACCCATGAAATAGTAAATGAAATGATTACTGAAAGGAATAAATTGATAAGTGTAATCTGATTGTAATAAAATAAATGAATGAATGATAATAAATTTCACACACCCATCACCCACCCCTGAACTGTCGGGTAAAAAAAATGTAATCGGAATATTTCTTTTTTTTATAATTTATTATATATATATTTTTTTTAATTTAGATGGCGTATTTTTTGAGAATA